AATATTTAATATGTAAGAAATGTAACTCAATTGGTAAATTAATAGGTAATCTTGGGATAAAATAATGAGTGATTTCTGAAAAAAAAATTATAGAAACTAAAAAGTTCACGTTTTTAAAATATTTTTAATAGAAAAATTGTAAACACAATTACTCAATAAATACTACATAAAAATATAAGAAATCTTATATCCTCCCTATATGTAATTAAAAAACATAACTTTTCTCAATTCAACATAAGCAAATCGATGAAAATAATATATTTTTAAAATAATTATGAACAAAAGTTGACTCTACAATATTACTAATGAATTTATTAATTGTAAATATTTAATTAAAATATAAATAAAAAATTGTATTTAAACATAATATAATATAGGATATACAAATATTTGATATATAATGAGGCAGATGATCGAAAAAATTATATTCTTTATATTATGTCTTTTTTTGACAAATTTACAGTTAAGAACATGTGAAAGAACAAGATAAAGTTTTAAAAAATATTAAATATAAAGAATAATATGAATAATAACTAAGTTGTGACATGTACTAATAAATATAAAACAAACTAATAAACAAAAATAATATAATTAATATAACTAAATATAAACCTTCTAAAAATATACTTATTGATGTAATCGAACTGAATTGTTAAACGCTTGTTAGTTTTTGTTCTTATTAATTTTATGTGTAAATTTGAGGTGATAGACAATAGTTATTTGTACATTTATACATGTAGATTAGAAAAAAAAAGAACCTTTATTATTCTAATTTTAAATAACTTTTTTATTTACTATAATATTTTTTTAATATATAATATATAAGTATGATATTGAACAAATAAAACAAGAAATATTTTAATTATATAATATTTAATATGTAAGAAATGTAACTCAATTGGTAAATTAATAAGTAATCTTGAGATAAAATAATGAGTGATTTCTGGAAAAAAATATTATAGGAACAAAAAAGTTCACGTGTTTAATATATTTTTAATACAAAAATTGTAAACACAATTACTCAATAAATACTACATAAAAAAATAATGGTTGAGAGGACTACAAAAATTTTGCTATACTGCAATGAATAATTCAACGGTAAGGTATTCTACTGAAAAATTCAACGAATATGTTGCTTTCATTGGCTATTCCAATAGAGTTCAAATTAAATTACATGAACTTTAGTGGATGTAAAGATTTCAATTACCTGAATTTCTATTGAAATTTCTTTTTTGGACCATATTTCAATCGTTGAAAAAATTGTCATTGGTATTATGCAAAAATTCAATAGAAGTTCCATTGGAAAGATAATTGCAGTGATAGATCTAAAATAATTTCATATTGGGAGCATTATTTAGTTAATAAAAAAAATATACCATCAAAATAACATGTCATTTCAATTTATAAATTATACTTTACATAATCTATCACCTTTCTCATTTGTAATACATTTTAATAAATCTATGCAATCACAATAAGGTAAAATATATTTAAGAAACCAAAAGTCAAGATTTTTCTAAAATCAACATAAGAAAATCGTAATATTTGTTGTAATTTTTGTTGGAATTTTCTCATTTCTTGACGTAAAACTAAGACTCCAAATCTATAAAAACAAATTGCATTATATATAATATTGTGTGCAACTATTATTATGAAAATTTTTGATACGATAGAAAATATAACACATTCAATGTAATTGGCGTTTAATTTATGATAAGAATTAATTTTTTTCAAAGCAAACAAGATACTTTGAAAGCTCCTTAATTATTTTATTAGTATTGTAATAACTAAATAAGGGGTAAGAAAGATGACAAAACTTATAACTTTCATTAAATCCAAAAGTAAAAATGCTGATAAAATTACTTAATGTACAATATCAATTGAAGCTTGCTAATGATATATATAAAACATACTTAAGATTCACATATATTTTAACTAGAACTTTTAAGTACATAATATATATATATATATATATATATATATATATATATATATTTATATGTATATTTCTTTAAATGTGGGTATGTTTATCTTAAAATTTTTTAGTTAAGATTTTTATTACTTTCTATCATTAAATTTTTTAATTTTCAAATACTTCATATTTTTTATTTGTTACCTTTTTATATGTAATATATCACATCATTTTTTTCAATGATGTTTGAGTTGACCCATATATTGCAATAAAATAAAAATAATATAATTATTTATATTGATATAAAATAATATACATATATATATATATATCAATACTAATTTAAAATAATAAATTAGTCTTAAAGTATATATAATAAAGTTTATATTCAAGTTAAATCAATTTTATTAAGTATAAAATAATATAAGATAAACTTGTAGTATGTTTTCCATACATAAATTTGAAACAATTAAAAAAAAGGTACAAAAATGGGTGTAAACTTCTAACTGTTCCCATGTTTTGGCTAGAGCGCCCAAATCCGATATATGTTTGACACGAGTTTGTCGTAATGCTGAAATTATGGAAAATGCACTTTAGGGTACAAACGAAGCAAAGCAATGTGAAGTCATAGATAAAAGGAAGGCTAGGCCAGAGAAATGAAATGAAATAACATTAGCTATGTGAAGTCAACGGTTTTGATTTGAAGCCAACAGTTGGCTCCGTAGTGGAGCCAACCTTCTATATACAACAAGTAAACCTACCATATTCTCTGATTACTTATATACACGAATGTAATTTGCTTAATATGATAGGTTTATTTGTTGTATATAGAAGGTTGGCTTCACTACGGAGCCAACTGTTGGCTTCATAGCAAAATCGGTGAAGTCAATTGCTGCTACAAAATGAACCCTATAATGGTGGTACCATATATGTATTCAGTGATTATGAAAATGACTTAGTTAATTAATATTTTATCAAACATTGAAAAAAATTCTAAAACTTTTCAATCTAATAATTCGTATAAAAAGTACAATTTTATCAAATATATTAAATTACATTTAATCTTATGTGATTATATTAATTGCAGCCTAATAAATAAGATAATTTGATACCATCATTATATAAAACACATACAAAAAATAACATAATACGTATAAATGTGCTTTAGTTAATTAGGAAATAAAATATTATTTATCTATAGAATAAGAAACAAATAATATAATAGTAATGCAATGAGAAAAGAAAACATGCTAATTTTTTTAGAAAAGTATGAATATCAATATTTACAAACAAAAAGTCTTTTAAAATTACTACTTTTTTTGTTGCTAGCGTTTAAATATATGGACTCTGTAAGAAATTAGTTCTCATAAATAATTATCATATATTATTTATTTTTAATTTTAAATTTGTATACATGATGTATATTCTAATCATGACTCCATAATAATAAACTTTACAAATGACTACAAGTATCGTCATATAATGAAATTCTAATTCTTCTGCTGTCAAATATTTTAACAAATGACATGCTTCTCAATATTTTCTCATTGTTTTGTTTTATCATTGCAAAAAATAGATTATATTGTTTGTCTATATTCTAGATAAATAACAATGAAAATAAATGTAGGAGTATCAAAACAGTTTTGAATGTTTGAATTAAGTTGTCACTTGTTATAGAAATATTTATAATCTCATTGGTGTATTGTGCTTGAACATATGTGCAATTACTTAAGAGGTACTTTCAGGTAATGTATGATGATTTTAAAAAATAATTTAGCACCTCGGGAGAATTACATGTAACCAAAATTTTGGAAAGTCATTTTTTATTTGGAGATAAAATTCATTCCCACCTCGTGGGGCGATGCATCAATGGGGTAGATACCAATATATCTCGAGATAGAGGAATGTAGTAGTTTATACAGTGATAAAAAATATCAGCAATTTTAGTGACACCGTTAGTTAGTTCATAGAGATATTTATCCTTTGTTAGTAGAAGTACCTTGTTATAAAGATCATACGATCATGAAGTTTGACTATATGTTGGTTCAGAATGTTTCTTAAGTGTTTGAATAAAATTGGCGTTTTTCCAAATTAATTAAGAGGAATTTTGCAATAGTATTGATGTATTGGACTCCAACGACTATGAATGTTCTTATGAGAACGTTAAAACTGAAATGAAAGAAAATCTTTGTGTTTTTTTATTAGGAATTTGTTTTTTTATATATATTTTTGTTGGGGTTTGTAAAACGTTATTTCAATATTTTTATATGAGGACATCATTATGTTAATTCTAAATAATTTTTTTTTCTATATTTTACTTAAATTATACAATGATATGTTTAATAAATAAATTAATTTATTTTACAAACATACTCCACGAAATCATTCGACACCACATGCATCACACGTGCACTTTACTAGTATATTATAAAAGGGCACAAATGTGCAAATTACAACTAATATCAGGCCGGCTTTCGTTTCATTAATTCCATGTATGTTACAAAATTGATAATACTCCACAAAATTAAATGTATGATTTGATTATTGCCAACGATTCTTTTATTAAAAGAACTATTGAAAATAAAAGTTGCCACAGTTTGAATATTGAACTGATAACAATATAAACAATTCTTGCTCAGTATCAATCCTTTTCCATGATGCAACTAAATTACTACTCTTGTTTGCTTCTTAATTAACCAAAATACATAGTTGATAGCCATATAAATCAGAACAGTATAAAATAATAAAATTAAAAAAAAAAAAATGGTATACACATGAAATTTAGCAAGACTGAAACTGTTTGTGATGGATGTGATTATGCAGAGCATGAGGAAGCCAAAGCTATTCTGGGTGTCGGCCGGAGCCCCTCTACTCTCTGTCATCATCTCAACATTGCTCGTTTTCGCATTCAGAGCTCAAAACCATGGAATTAGTGTAGTAAGTCTTTTTCTCGTGCGTGCGCTTTTAATCGTGTTAGAATTTCCTTTGAACTCTTTCTTGTGGTTATGATAAATGTGATGTTCACATGTCAAATTATATATACTTAGATTGGGAATTACAAGAAGGGTTGAATCCTCCTTCATGGAACATGCTGCATTTTCATGGTAACTATTTGGGACTCGTAATCAGAACCGGGCTTGTCACCGGCATCATTTCACTCACGGTAAGTAATAGCTGCAATTTCACTACGTTTTGTTTAACCGAACATAATTGTAGTTTTTGCTTATTGATGAAGTTTTAGTGCAAATACTACTAACTTTTGGTTATTTCATAAGTGTTTTTTGGTTATGTTGCGAAAAATCTTTTCGAATATCTATAAAGTTCGCATTTTTACGAAAAATAGATTGTGGAAAACAGGAAGGAATTGCAGTAGGAAGGACTTTTGCGGCACTAAAGAACTACCAAGTGGATGGAAACAAGGAGATGATTGCCAACGGGCTAATGAACATAGTCGGATCAACCACCTCTTGCTACGTAACAACTGGTACATATTTCTAACACATTAAAAAAAGGATTATATATGAGTCTACGATAGGTAATTTGAAGTAAAAGGAATGATTAAATGCAGGTGCGTTTTCACGGTCGGCCGTGAACCACAATGCAGGCTGCAAAACAGCACTCTCCAACATAATAATGGCAGTGACTGTGATAGTGACCCTCCTCTTTCTGATGCCTCTTTTTCAGTACACGCCAAACGTGGTATTAGGGGCCATCATCGTGACAGCTGTCGTCGGCCTTACAGACGTCCCAACCGCCTGCCAAATTTGGAAAGTAGACAAATTTGATTTTCTTGTCATGCTCTGTGCCTTTTTCGGGGTTCTCTTTATCTCTGTACAGGAAGGCCTAGCCATCGCGGTATACATGTTAATGTTCCCTTTGTCTTTTTTTAGTTTGATTTTAAAATACGTAAGATTTGAGGATGACAATGGAAAAGAAGCATCTGGAGGTAAGCCACACTCACATTACATGACAACATGAAATTTCAACACTCTCTTGGCCCATGAAACTTCAAGTTAAAGCAAATAATCCCGACTTATTAATTTTTTGTTTCGATTTCGTGATATAATACAAGGATTACTTCTGTTTCGGCTAATTGTTTATTTAATTAACGTTTGAAACATGGACAGCTTGTGCTGGTGAATCCACTTGGTGAGGTGATCGAAAAATTACAGTGTGCAGACAATGCAAAAGAGTATGAAAGGGCTGAATGTCTGTTCTTGACTGTTGGTGAAGCAGTTTCTTTTCACCTCCAAAATGTGAAGTCATTCGTCTAACTTTATACGTATGATCAGTGGCCTATCAGTTACCATTATTTTTTTGCCTTCTTGCATGTCTTCAGAATAATACACTATAGTTTCCATGGTTTAAGAGGAAACATTTATTCGTGTGTAATCTTTTTATACTAAATGAAAATGTAGAGTCATTTATGTGATATGTATGGATTGTATCTCTGTTTTGATCATATAAGATGTGAGGCTAAATCTTTTTATTATTATTATTATTATTATTATTATTATTATTATTATTATTATTATTATTATTATTATTATTATTATTATTATTATTGTAAATGCTAAATGTCTAATTGCAATTAATTGTCCAATTGATTATTATTATTATTAGTATTAATATTTATATTAAATGTCTAATTTGCCTAATTGTTAATATGTGTTTTAAATGTTTATTTATTTATAAATATTATATTGTGTATTAGATATATATATATATATATATATAAATATTTCGGTTATTTATTGTTATTGCTCGATTTAGTATTTTAGTCATAGCATTATATTATTTGCGAATAATATAATGTTAAATAATTTCGTTCGATTTAATTTTATTAAGTCGTTCGAAAATTTAGTTTATTATGTTAAACCGGATTAAACTCGAATTCTATTTTCTCGCGAACTGTTTCGAGCCCGAGACCCGACCCATATAGCTTGCAATTTCGGCACAATAATTAGGCCCTAATTCTTCTTTTATGTTAATTAAACCCTACATGTTAAAGGGAGAGATTTCTCCTCATCTCTATTAATCGCGCAGACCCTAATCGTTAGAAGAGAGCAGCCATATTTTCTCTCCTCTCTCGTCAAATACCGCGACATCGGAAAAGCAGAAAAGAGAATTCTTCTCTCGCCATCATCGAACACCACCATCAACTCTCCTTCTTCTCACTGCAAACCGATCGCTTCCTTGGCTGCCGTGCACCACCATCATCGTGACTTGTTCCTGCCGTCGCGAGTCCCGCAGCGCCACCCACCACCGCCGTGCTCCTCCGCGACCTCCCTCTCTCGCTAGCCCCTTGTGATCCCAGCCATCGTCATAGCCTTCCCGCCGTGAGCAGCAATCAGTCCCATCACCTCCGGCGAGAATCCTTTCCTGAACGTGCGCCTCCATCGTCAGACCTGCCGCTCCGCCGTTCTCCTCCGCCGCCGCGCTCCACCACTGTGCACCATGGCCAGAACTGGCGAGTTTCAGTCCCTACTCCATCGCAAGACCCCAGCAAACTGTACCTTGTCATCTCTGATCGCTGCCCCTACCATCGCGAGCTCCTCACCACCATCATTGTGCGTCCCTGTTCCGATTTCCGATCGCTGCTCACCCGCGAGACCTCGACAAGCTGCTGCTCTCGCGTGATCATCATCCCCATCGTCGCGACCTGCCAGAGGCGAGCCTGCGACCACCGTTGCGAACCTCATTGCTGTTCGTGAGTTAACCGCAAGGCCTTTGTGTTGTCCGTCGAGTTCCGCCAAAGTGCCGAACGTAGCCGTCGAGTCCCGTTGGAGTGTGCGTGTAGTCGTTTCAGCCCCGTTTTGATCCGTTCATGTGCCCGAGAACGGTGTTACTTCGAGCCCGGGCTGATTTTATTTGTTCCTCAATATCATCAAATAAGAATATGTAATAATTCAAGTGAAAACCATAAGAATTTATTGTTCAATCGTGCTTAATAAGACCAAGTTGGACCTTGGACAACGTGTTTTTTTGATACATCAAATGTTTAAGTTTTAAAGTAGTGATATCGAGGCTTGCTTAACGTGTAAATTACGTGGTTTTTAGGCTATGTTCTTGTACGAACATTTTGAGTTGTTAAAGGCATGAAAAACTCAAATTTCGAGCCTCAGTGTGCTATGTTTTTGTCGACCAAGAAGTTGTTTCTTGGACAAGTGCTCTTCTTGAGTTTTGTAGTGCTTTGAGTTAGGTTTCAGTGGGTTATTTAAAATTATCTATGCCATGAATGATAAATTATTTATGTGGTTTTATTATTCAAAAATTGTCTATGCTTTGAACTGTGAATATGTTTACTTACTTGGGTATGATCAAAGTATAAAATGTGTATGTGTAACTTTCGGCGTGAGCTGTACCGGCCGTCGAACGTATCCCCGTTGTTATAGAACGTACCACGAGTGGGTAATCTCCTATTGTGATGGATTTCCTGTCTAAGACCCTCGGGGTTGGCAGACCTGTCTAATACTCTCGGGGTTGACAGTGGATTTTCCGTCTAGAACTCTCGGGGTTGAAGGATGATCCTCCTACTTTGGCAATGTTAGAGTTCTCGCGGGGAGACGATACGTGGACCAAATGTAGTCTATTCTGATAGGTGTGCACATGAGGCTGATTATTGATTATGGATAGGAAATGGGAAAATTTATCGTCTATGTTCATACTAGTGACCATGCCATATTTACTTTTTGTATTCACTTGTTATAACTGTTCATGTGCATAGCGGTGAGCACAACGGATTCCATCTGTGCTTATCCCCACCTGCTTTTCATGGATGCAGATTGAGCCGGCGACTGCATGGCGGCGAGAGACGAGTGGTGGTCGGTCATTTGACCGGACCTTATTGTGTAACTTCGCTTTGTTATTATATTATGATTATTTTTGCCATCATGTTCAACTCTGGGTAATTATGATCTTGGGTTTTGAACTCTGGATTATCTATGATTTGAGAAATGTGAACAGTTGTTTGGGGAGATGGCCCATTTGATAATAATCGATTTCGGAACTTTGTTTAAAATCCTATGAGGGTGGCTTCGATTTGACTCTTGATGTTTGATGATGTTTAAATTACTTGCGAGTAATTGATATGTGAAAGTTCGTAATTGTTAATTTTATGTCGAGTAATGCCAAACGATTTACGAAAAGAATTTCGAAAAACTTTCGTTGACTTTTTGAAAGTCCTTGACTTTCGTCAAATAAAAGTGGGGCGTTACAGTATGGTATCAAAGCCAGTCTGCGTTTCTGTAGACTGCTCAACATGAATAATGTGTGTTTATGAATGTTTGATTATAAGCATCGACCACTCGTCTTCGTCTTGCCGCGTCTCTCAAGGTATGTAAGTCATAAGTGATATTGAGATTACTTATGTTATAATAGTTCATTATTTATGTGCTATAATTCGGGGCTTAGGAATTTATCCACCTATATTGAATTTGATGAACT